TTTCGTAAAAGTACCTACGTCACATAAAATGGAACAGAAGAGTAATATATATTATTTGAAAATGATATAAGAAGTGCTATAAATCACAATAAATTAACAACTTCAAAATATATTTAACAAAATCACATACAAAAAATTATATAACTCTCCAAATTTCATCGGTGTCACATAAATTGAAACAAAGAACTACTCCCAATTTATGTTATTTACTTTCCTTTTTAGTCAGTCCCAAAAGAATGTCACATTTCTATATTAAGTAACAATTTGATTATAAAATATTTATTTTACCCTTAATGAAATAATTTACAGTCATACAAATTTATATCATTCATTTTGGACCATAAATTTTAAAAGTCTTCATTTCTTATTTAAACTCCGTGGCGAATCAAACTACCTCACATAAAATGAGACGGAGGAAGTAATATACATTGGGCCCGCGCTGGCGCGGGAACCTAATAACTAGTATATATATATATATATATAAGTCTTGTGAAAGGCTACATTAACAAATAGAATAAAGAATTAAATTAAGTTATTAGGATGTTAAAGGCCACATTAGAAAGAGTAAAGATCCAAAAGCGTTCCTTTTAATAAAAAAAACAAATTTTAAAAAAATATCTCAATGTAACCCATTTCAGAAAGAACCTCAAACCCCTAGGTCTTTCTTCTTCTTTTTTTTGGAAATTGGTAAATTAAATTGGCTGAGTCTTTCTCCAAACCTAGTCTAATGTTTGTTCAAATTCGTCAGGTCTGCCCTATTGCTACTGAAAAATATGGAGTTTGTAGATTTGGAGCGAAAAATTCTGGAATACGGCATATACAAAGGAAAAATAATTTGGCGGCTAGTATTTTGGATTTCCCTCCTTCTAGTTCCCTTTATGATTCAAAGTTTTTAGGGCTTTCATCCCTTCAATTTCTTTTTGGCTGCGCTTGAGGCAAGTTTATTCTTCCAATTTTGGTTTTGCTATATGATAATTGAAGATATAGAATCAGTTTGATTTCAATAACTTAAAGACTATTACAGAAATTTGTGCGTTAGTACTAGATTTAGTATTCTTGAAGTACTTCATATATTCTATCTACTCGTTGAAATTTTACCATTGATTAGTTGAAATTTTACCATTGATTTGTAGTTAGAAGAGTACGAGAAAAAGAAGGCAAGCTGTTGGCACAACATTGATATAGAGTTCATGACTTCTCTGTGAGGCTTTTGCAGGTTCATATCTACCTATTATTTTGTTAGCTGCGCTTGAGGCATATCGATCTGCCTATCATATTTCTTGATAGTATGGGGATCTAGTTTTATCTTTTGGGTGTCAAGTAGTTCCATGTTGCTTATTTATTACAAGATTATTTTTTTAAATCAGGCAATTAGGTAAAACTAGTGTGCTGAAGTAGTACGATTTTTTTATTTTTTTTTCGATTGAAGACACTTTAGTGCTGCCCTTTTCTTGAAAACGTGATATAACATCAATGAATCTAGACCCAATTAATGATGTAAATTGTGTAGAATTTTTAAGTGAAGTAATTTACAAATAAAGAGAGAACAAAAACTTGACTACCTGACTAGCTCTTATTCAATGATTTTAGATACTGGAATAAGTCCCAAGTATGATAAATAAAGAGGATGAAGTGGTATAAGTAAGAAAGGGGTGTTTAAATAGTTATTTTACATACACAGTCGGTCTCTGCTTGCTAGAGTAATAGGCTTGTCATTTAACGTCGAACAAATGATCTTATAGTTTATGACATTAAGATTACCATTGGGTGAAATATACATAGCAGCCTACACATCTCCATGTCAACCACCATTGCATAGTAATGGATCTTAGTGATCCAAGATTAATCCTAAAATAAGATCATCATCCAAAAAAGTGCCAAAGGTGTGCTGTATCCCCCTTTGCAAACATGCGTTAAACCTTTTCGTAGTGACCTTGTATGCATCAATTGCATTTGGAAGGACCTGTCACCTGAAACTTCTTGATCTTATCATCAATAGCAATAACATTTTTCAATAACTTTATCATAAAGAAAGAAACTTTAAAAGGAATTTCAGAATGCCAATTTTTTTAACACTAAGAGTAGGTTGTTTAAACTTTCTCATTTGCCGCTAAAAGCACCATTTTCAGTTTGTTTCCAGATGTCTGTCTTTGAGCTCTTGTGAATATGAATATCAGTGATGTTGTACATTAAATTGTCAAGATTGATTCCCCCGAGAGCTTCCGTATCCCATTTACCATCTTGTGTGAAATCAGTTGCACTTTGATATTTTTGATTTTAGCGTCCTGGAAAGACATATTAGCAAGTGCTCCCATTTGATCAGTCAACCTATCCCACCAGGACACATTAACCTTTTCAATACACCGTAAGATATTTGGCTAACAATTTTTATTTTTATTTTCATAAGTCTTCTCCAAGTATGAGATTGATTATAAGATCCTTTTCTAGCCACGAGATGTAATCTTTTGTAGTATCTGGCTTCAAGGAATTCTCGGAGAAGTGAGTTGTTAGTTCTAAAGTTCCATCAGTTCTTCACCAAAAATGAATCACAAGAACTTTGGATCTTCCTGATTCCTATTCCCCCTATGAGTAGGGGTAACACAAATCATCCTATGTTATCCAGTGGTGTTTCTTCCTCTCAGTTTCACCCAAAAAATAGTTATCTATGATACTATCAATTTGTTTAAAGGTGTCAATCGGTAGGTTTTATCACAAAGAAAATATGAAGAGGGATAGAGGCCAGGGCAAACTTCAGCATAACAGTCTTACCACCAGCAGTGAGAATTTTTGTTTGGCAAGAAGTAACTTTCTTAGCCACTTTAACCATTAGATCAGTAGAATAACATTTTTTCTTCTTGTCTAGGAAGATAGGACTTCCTAAGTACTTCATAGGTAATCTGGTATGAGAGAAGCCAATAATAGATTTAATATTCTCTTTGAAGTGAATAGAGGCTTTAGGATGGACAATGAAACCATATCTATTCTTATTGATCAGTTGCAAAAACATAAACAGATTTGTGATGTTTCTCATAATGTTTCATCAATAGTTGTGCATATAGGAGCTCATTCCAGGTGTCTGGTACACCAGGAAGGCACCAATTGCTGCAATATTGGTACCTTAACATTGTCCTTCTCTCCTCATCTATCATGTTTGGCTTCCTGTACACCGATGGATGTCCATCCTTGTTAGTTGATTTAGGTATTTTACTAATTGAGTCGGTTAGTTTGATATAAATAGATGGTGGCATTGTATTCAGATCATGATTTCAGCTACTGTTTTAACAGATCTATATACTCCATTTCAATTGATGTGGCTTAGTTTGAGTAGGTAGAGAATTTAATAAATCAAGAAAGACTTCTCAATTTTGTGGTCCTAAACATGTTAGTAGGTTTTTGTGGCTATAAGAATATAGTTTAAAGGGTAATAGAGAACGTTTGATGTTAAATTGTTTTCAAATTTAGAAAGGTGTCATTATGTTTAAATATACTAAAAAGAAAAGAGTATCAAGCAAATAAAATGGAGGGAGACAATGTATCCATACAAGTTCTACCTATTCATTAAAATGCCTTTGGAATTAACTTTGGCAAAACACAAAAGCTAAAACGCCTAATCGTACACACTCCAAACAGAAGCCTCGAAACCCGAACCAAACATCACACTAAACCAAAAGGACCCTGACGTAGCTGATGGAACTGACGGAATTTTGATCCGACATCAGAATCATTGGATGTTGACAAAAGTCATCTCTTTCATGTGTTAAGCCTCCAAAATTGAAAAACTTGCACCAAAGACTGTGTGTGCTGGTCATACTCATCCTCAGAATGTATCGTTTCATAATCTATATCTCTGGTGTTATGTTCATTTTGACCAACTTGAACCTGTACCTCTTGCCCCTTATTCTCTTTTGTCCCTGCTGCTTGTTGTTGCCTTCTTTTGATGGCATCTCTCCTCTTTTTTCATAGTTTGCCCTGATATTTGTTGTTGATAGTTTGCCCTTGGTTTGTGCCCCCACTGTCTTGTATGTTTTGTTCCTATTCTCTCCAATGAATATTCTTTTTCTGTGTGTTATGAGGAGTATTAAGATTACCCTATTGATCCTTCTGTTTACTGTGTCCGTGACCAGAAACCTTTCCCTGATGGATAAGCTGATTGTGCTGGTTCTCTTGTGTGGTTTGATGAGAAGTGGTAGCAGATCTCTAGGGTCTTTCTCAGGGTCAGTGTGTAAATTCTCATGTACATCATGATGCAGAAACCCCCCTTTGGATACCCCTTCCTACAAGTTAGTAATTTTCTCCTTCAAGAAATTGTATTTGTATTATAAAAATTGTCTATTTTAGGTTCTTGCTTAGTCTTAAAAACTACGTAAGGAATAGACATTATCCAGAAGGTGCGATTGCAGAGGGACGTTGGATAGACGAGTTAATGACGTTTTGCTCATGGTATTTAGATGACGTGGAGACTAAGTTTAATCGACCTTTAAGAAATGATGTTTTATCTAATGAAACAACAGACCAAGAGGGTCGTCGATCAAGTAGAGAGAAAGGATTTAAGCTTGATACATTACACGTGCTCAAGCCCACATATATGTTTTATTTAATTCTACCTCCACAACTTCATATCGTGAGTAAGTATTAAATCATAATTTATACTTAGTAATTAATTATTAAAT